AAGAGACAACATGTACTCTCATTTTATTATATACATGAATTTGTTACGTCACACTTCTATTAAATTTAACCTAATTTTTAATGGTAAGGACTAAATTGTAACCAAAGTATGGGAACTAAATCGTTACTTTTAAAAGTTTACGGATTAAATCGTTATTTTGTTGAAAATTCAGGTACTAAATGTATATTTTAACCAAAAATGGAAAAAAAAAACTCAAATTGATATTTAATATTTGGTTAAAAGTCACATTTGATCCCTAAACTTTCATTTAAAGTAACGATTTAGTCTCCTAACTTTTAAAAGTAACGATTTAGTCTCTACTTTGAAATTGGTTAAAAAGTAGGTTAGATTTAACGGAAAAGTACCAACTATGTGGTTGGTTCAATTTTGAGTCGGTTTAAACTTTAAACTGGACCGATCTAGTATTAAAAAAAAAAGAAGATAATTATAAAGGAAAATATCTCCATCTTTCTCCAGCTAATTTTCGGCGACTTTTCTTGCGAGAGCCAATAATCTAATGGAATGCTGACATAGAAATTTGAGATATTACGTAGCATTTACCTGCGTAATTAATTTTAAATGATGTGACATGTGTGATTTTTGGATTTACCTTCTCCCTTTTCTTCTTCTTCACAGCCTTCTCTCCCTCAAACTCTCACTTACTCATTTAAAATAATTACATAAGAAAATCTTACTTAACGCCTCAAACTTTCATGTCAGTGTAGACACCGTATTTGGTCCGGCTTTATTTTAGTTTTAGTTTTAATTATTTAATTTTTATTTTATTAAATACTATAGGATTACTTCATTATTGGTTATAAGCTAAAGTTTAAATTAAATTAAAAAAATAGATTTTGTTTTAAAGAATTTGATTTAATATTAAAATAAAAGAAATAAAAAGATTTGATTTGATTTATATAATTTTGTTTTAAATAAAGAAATTTAGATTCTGTTTTGGTTAAAAATATTCCTCCCGTTCTTTCCTTCGTCAAAACCGAACGCTTTCCCTTCCCTCTTTTTCTCTGGTTTTTCTTGACTCACGTATGTTACTGTTATTTTTTTGGTATATTTAAAGGGCACACAACACAGAGGAGGAAAAAAAAACAGAGAGCACACTGATTTGGGTAAAGAAAATTTTTTATTTTTTCCCTTGGTCTCTAAAGGCACACAACAAGACTCTGGTGCACACCTCGAGTCCAGCGACCCACTCTAACACGACGAACCACATCTGTGGTAAAAAGAAAATAAACTTTTTAAAATAAGTTTTGAAAAATAATGTAGATAATTTTTTTTCAAAAGTAAAATAAAATAATTTTTAAATAAAGTAACAAAAAGTTAATTTCATTTAAATAAAAGATTTTGCATTAAAGTTCTGTAAGTTAAAAATAATAATAATAAGAGTTTTATGAACTAAATCTTTTAAAAATAAAATGGAAATCTTAATTTTGTTTTATTTATTTTTAGAAAGAGAATTTCTGCGGCAGAGATTTAAAAGATAGAGGATTTATAGAAAATTGTTTTCTAAGATTTGTTTTAATCTTGTAACATTTGTAATTTACATTAAATTGTTAGGAGAATGAAATCTTTTTTTAAATGATGATTATCATTTTAGAAAAGATCTTAACAATTTGTTTTAAGTAAAATTGATTTTTTTTAATTAAAAATAAAAGATTTTCTTGAAAAAATCTTTTTAATGTGAAAATACATAATTTTTTTTGTTTAAATTTAACAAAATTCGTAGGTTTTTTTTTTAGTTTAAAAAATAAATTAGAACTTTTTGTTTTTGTAAAAGAGTACAATGTTTACTTCTTAGGGTGGTGTTGACATAGTGGTAAGATGTTTAGTTTTTAATACTCAACCCAAGTTCAAGTATTCGCATGCCTCTTTTTATCATTGTTTTTACTAAATAATTATTTTAAATAAAAGATTTCGTTTAGAGTTTTTCTTTTTTTTTTTAAAACAAAATTTAAAAATACAAAGTTTGTATTTTCAAAAAGAATATAAATTACATCCTAAGGTGGTGGCACATTGGTGAGATGTTGGAAGGTTAATGCTTAAGTAACTAGCTTAAGTCTTAATGTGCCTTAAAATAAAATTTTTTTTGTTATTATTTTTTTTTTTACTAAAATAATTATTTTGAAAACTCCGATGACGGGAATTGCAACCCTCCAATTTACTCGAGGTGCTTAATTTTTTTAATGGCCTTCGTGTCACTCATATATATTAATTCATATCTTATAACAGAGTGTGAATCAATATAACATGGGACATTTCGATCAAAACAAAAATATTTTTTTCTTGGACCAAATAAAATAATTGGGTAATTTATGATAAAATGTGGTACCGTTTTCGAATGGGTGTCGTAGGGTGCTAACACCTTCCCTACGCTCAGTCGACTCCCGAACCAAAATCTGTTTTTTGTAGACCAAGTTTTTCAAATAGGTGAACAATCACACCTCGTAGATGATTGGTGGCGACTCCAAACCCTTATCTCGAAAGAGACCCTTCAGGGGATGACGTCGGCCGCTCCGCGTCGCGATGACGTTGCGACAGTCAGTATTTCGTTAATCACATTAGAAGTTTGAGATATTTTTAGAACTATGTTCTAAAAGTCGAGGTCCAAACTATCTATTTTTAAAACTTATGGACCACAAAGAAACCTAAAAATATATTTCACAAAAAATTCAGGACTCATTTGATAACGATTTATGTTTTTAGTTTGTCTGTTTTATGTTTTTGGTTTATGTTTAAAAAACAAAAACCGTATATGTTTTCGTAATTGTTTTTTGTTTTTTAAAAGCAGAAAACCAAATATATTTTATAACCATTTTGGATTCAGATGGTAAAGATTTAAAGAGTTGAAAATATATGATATAGAAAGAAAAATCTATGTAAAAGTAGAGACAACAATAGGGTGGGACGAGAGTCACAATACTCTTTCCATCCTCATCCTCACGAAAAGTTTTAGTCTCGTCTCCACCCCATTCTCCGATTTCGAGAATCAATATCTCGGTCAAGGAATCCTCATTTGGAGGCAAAGATTTTTGTAAGGAAAATTATCGATTTAGTAAATAATTTTAATTATTAAAAAAAGTAATAAATATATATAAATTATATTTACTTCACTGAAAATTATTATTTATTTGTATAAATAAATAGTTTTAAAAAATATTTAATATTTTATTCATAATATAGTAAAATAGTTAACAAAATATATTTTACTTATTTAAGAATAGAATTGGGGTTGGGGCTGGGACATAGAGGAAAATGTATTCATTGTTTTTGAGCGGTAATCCGATCCCTGCAGAGTTTTTGTCATAGAGATATGAAAACAAAAGCTTAGAGAGATAAATGAAATTTTTTAAAGATAAATTTTGAAAGAGAAAAATAAATAGATTTAAAGAAAAGAAAATTTTAGTAAGAGAACAATTAAAACAAAGAAAAAAATTTAGAGACATAGAGTAAAGTTGAGATCGTAAGAGACAAGAGTAAGAAAAATTAGAAAGAGAAAGATAAATTATAATGAGAAAAAAATTTATACAGAAAAAAGTTCGACATATACTTGTTAAAGAAAAAACAAATAACAAATAAAGAAAAGTTATAAAGAAAGAAAATTGAAATAAAATTAGATGAAGAAAAGTTGGAAATATATATATATATATAATATTTAGTACAGTTGGAAATATATTTGCTATAGAGAAAATAATTAGAAAGAGAAAGAAAGTTATAAAGGCAGAATTAAGGTACGATCCATACTGTCCCATTTTGGGGATCTATCAACTAATTCTTTGATTCTAATTAATAAGAGGTAGCACTCCCGTGTAATACTCTACAAAGGCGATGATTCCTCGCCTCTTTCTCTCATTTAAAACCATGCATGAAATTGATTCTCTCACTCAATCTTATCAGACGCAAGTCCAGATCAATCAGACAAGATATGTTACATTGGTCGTATCATTGTAGCAACTGAAATATTTTTTTTCCTCGTAAAAATCCACTAATTCGAAATTTAATTTGAAAGCCATATTTCGAGATTCTCTTTTTATTTTTTTTTCGGTAGAAGACGATAATGCTTAGGTTGCCTATTTTGAGTTATGGGTCAGAGAAAAAAATTAAGAAAATATTAAAATTTTAGAGAAATAAAAATGAGAAAGATATGTTACAACAAAACCAAATAGATAAAAATATATAGAGATGAAAATCTTGGAGAGAGATAATAGTAAATATTTGTAGAGATTAAAAATTTAGAGGGAAAAATATAAATTGTTTAGAGAGAAAAATATAAATTTTTTAGAGAGAAAAATTCCTGTAGAAAAAAACTTTAAGAAGAGAGAAATTTGTTGGAGAGAAATAGGTAAAGAAAGAAAAAGTTAGCATAAAAAAAAAATATTTTGAAAAACAAAAATTTATTTTTAAAGACTATTTTTTTAGTGTTTGAAGTTTATAAAAAAGTTTAAAAATATTTTTATAAAATACAAAATAGAAGATTGAATTGGTGGGACAAAAAACCTATTTTTCAAAAATAAAAAAAACGAAATAATTATCAAACTATCTTTTTATTCAATGACTTAATAAAAAAGTTTAATGGTATGTTTGGGAGTGTTTTTTACTTCCTTTTCTATTGGTCCTCTTTGGCCAATCGAAAAGTTTAAAATCACTGAATTGATTTTTAAGATAGAAGATTGTTCCAAGTCAGACACGCTTAACTTTGAAATTCTTATGATTGAACCATCGAGAAAAGATATGCTCATTTCATGACTATCAATTCTTTTTAAGTTTTTTTTGACCATTATTCTATGATCTCAGGATATTTCTTATTCGGATGTGGTATCGGTTCATTCATGTATCCCTTATTTTTTAGAAAAACAATTATTCTGTAAATCCCTTTTTTCCAAAATAACTCTCACCCGACCAAGTAAGAATTACTATTCCATATATAATTTTTGTTTTTTTTTTCAAATGACAACGGCCCAATTTGGCATTTGACGAGGGCGGGAAAACAAAAAACAAAAAGAGAAGACGAGAAAAGAAATCAGCGCTCACCGGCCAACGAGAAGGGTAGGTGACGAGCGACGCCACTCTCACCGTTCATCTGAGAGAGAGAACCAGCAGCAAAAAACAAGGCGATTCGTTGAGAATCACAAATGGAGAGGATTAACGTCACCGTGCGAGCGAGGCCGCACTCACCGGCCGACGAGAAGACAAGCCCTTGGAGAATCTCCGGCAACTCCATCTTCATTCCCAATAACCCCAACAAATTCGAATTTGGTATGTTTCTACTCTTACCAGTTCTGTATTTCTCGCAAAATTCGTCCTCCTAGGTTTTACTTTTACTTCTCTCGGTCTCGGCTTTGGATTTTGCAATGTTTCTGGTTTGCAGACCGGATTTTTGGCGAAGACTGTAAGACTTTCGAGGTCTATCAAGCTCGCACCAAAGAAATCGTTGCCTCCGCAGTTCGTGGATTCAATGGTATTGTCGATGAAATTAGTTGTTCGTTGCGGTTGTCTTATGTGTTGGTAATGTTTGGCTGATTACTAATATCACTCTGGAACTTCTATGTTGTGTTCTTTAATATATCGTCTTTGCGTAATTTAGGCACTGTTTTTGCTTACGGGCAAACTAACAGTGGAAAGACTCATACAATGCGAGGCTCACCTACTGAACCTGGAATCATTCCTCTTGCTGTGCACAATTTGTTTGATCTTATACAGCAGGTATTCCTTTAATTACTACATTTCTATTGCCGTTTTTGAATAGGCTATATGAAGTGCATTTTAAATTACCCAACGAAGCTTTAGATGTCTGGAGCTTATTTAATTTTCGAGTGGAAAAAGTGGAACATTGTTTATCATATTTGGACCATTGAAACACAAATTCAAACTAACATAGTTATAGCCAGGAGAAAGAAAAAAGAAATGAAGATCAATCAATTATGTGAAATTCCCCAAATCCGGATGTTGTATTTAGAAAAAAGTAAAATAAACATCGAACTTGACTACTTGAGTTTGTCCTGACTTTGATTCATCTAATATGTTGAACTATTTGAGATATGTCTATGTGAACTTTTTGTGTTCAAAGGATGTGGATAGAGAGTTTCTTCTGCGAATGTCCTACATGGAAATCTATAATGAAGAAATAAACGATTTGTTGGTTCCTGAGCACCGAAAACTGCAGATTCATGAAAGTTTAGAGGTTATGCTTAATTTTGAACTTGGTGCAGCTTGTTGTTCCATGTCAAAATTACATCTACTCTTATTGATGTTAGTTTTTGTTTTCTTTTTTCTTCGTATTTACAGCGAGGAATCTATGTTGCTGGCTTGCGCGAAGAGATTGTTGCTTCTTCTGAGCAAGTTCTCGATCTCATGGAATTTGGAGAATGTAATTAAATTTCATAAGATTAGAGTCTATTGCTTATGCTTCCTCCGTTTTACAAGAACTTAATGGAATTCTCTTTCATTTCTAAATCTTTTTATATTGCTTAGATTAGTATCCTAGTACTTCTCATTTTGAGACTGAAGAGTTCAACCGGAGGAAGAGAGCATATTTATTATCTATTACTATTTGTTTACTGATTTTATGAATTATTTACATCTTGAAATGACTTCTATTTCTTTTCAATCTCAATCGCTTAGTTTTCAAATTGATCATATCTCTGATTTTTGTTCAGGCTTTTGTCTGTCTGTACTTGTATATATTAGTGATTGCATGCTAATTTTAGTAACTTGTCCAAATCTTCAGCACATCGTCATATTGGAGAGACAAATATGAATTTGTACAGTAGTAGATCCCACACTATTTTCCGCATGGTAAGCACAATATTTTTTCCAATTTTGCAAGTCATATAGCCATTGTCTTCTTTTTTCCTCTCTATCTTACATAATAATCAATTAGATAATCGAAAGTCGGGATAAAGTTGAAGACGGAAACATTGGAAATTCTTGTGATGCTGTTCGTGTTTCAGTTTTGGTAAGTGGTTCCTTTAACAATCAATTATTTCTCCATGCCTTGCTTCCAGTGTTCATTTATCAATTACTTTATTATTGCGATTTAGGTGATGACTCATCATCTCCACTTGTTGGATTGCTAAAAGCTTCTCTCTCTCTCTCAAAGAATTAAGGGAGGAAGGATGGATTGTTGTGGTGTTGTCCTTTTCAGTTGAAGCTAAGACTTTTTTCGATTTCTTTTGATACGAGATATAAGGGAAGTAGAGTTTGGATAGAGGACTTTGGAAAGGTGGTGTTGTCCCAATCCATTTAGTTGGTACTGGCGGGACGGTTAGGAGAAGTTATTGGAGAACTTGTGATTAATTCAATTAATAACAGATATTTAACAATCAAAGTTGTGAAGGTTATGTGGTGTGAATGGAGAAGATCATCAATAAAAGAGGATTGGGGGAGGTATGTAAAATCAATTCAATTGGGGGGTAAAGAAAAAATTCTCACTCTGGAAGGAAGTATATGTAGGGTTGGAAGATTTTTAAGAAAGCAGTGAGCAGTAAAGGAAAGTGGTTTTTGGGAAATTCGATAACCTGGTGGAGGAGGATGCAGGGAATGAAATTATAGTGATAAATGAAGCAAAGGGGTTAGGAGGGGAGTCGGGACTGGGGAGTTGGGTGGAGCAAGGTGATTAGGAAAGAAATGTTGAAAAGGGAAGAGAAGCTTGTGTAGGTTGGTGATGAGATTGAGGTTGAGAAAAAGAGGAATGGTTTTTAGAAGAAAGAAAGGGAGGGGAAATATCTCAATAAGATTAAATTTAAATTCTGTTGTTATTACCGAAAGTTCTTTTCATGACTGTTACTTTGATATTTTGGAAGAATTGAAAAATGCAATCTGTGATGACTTTATGGTAAATCCCATTACTGTTGAGACTTGTGCTGTGATTTTATTGCACATAAGAGAAGATTAAAGCTAGATAGGTATTTGAGAGGTCTGACACTTTTCCATTTCTACCCATGCCCACCTATAACCAGTAATGCATAATTTCCTAGCAGCATAAGCATACATAACTGATTTAACTTCCAAGAAACTGACCAAACAACAGAATAATTAAGAAAACATAAAAGACAGATTGACTACTGTAGAAAATTAAGCAAATTAAGTTTTTTTCCTTATTAGAATTTTCATTATGTCTCTGTATATTCTGTAATTTTATTGTTTTCCTTATAGGCTTTAGATTAATTCCTTATTTGTTGAAAGGTCTTTTTGTATATTTACCCCTAAATGGGTTGTAATGAAAATAAGAAAATATAACCTTTCTCACAAAGCTACATGGTATCAGAGCTCTAGGAATAAACCCTAGAATCTGAAAAACCCTAGCTGCCAGAATCTGGAAAAAAACCCTAGCCGCCGCCGTCTTCAATATCCACCTCCGGCAGCCATCTCCTTCCGCCGCCGTTGATCTCATTGATCTTCCACAGATTCGTCATTCCGTCGATCCTGTCGTAGGTGCCGCCGCTTCCGCCACA